TACAAAATAAAACAACAATACATTAATATAATATTTTTATACTTATTTTCACATAGATATAAATAAAGCTGTCAAATATAATTTAGCGGATATAAAAATGGACTGATCAGTGACTTTCCTACATTATCTATATATACAATATTTACCACTATCTCATAAATACAAAAATAAAGGTGTGTCATTTAGAAAATCGAACTACTTAATGTCAGTAGGTACACGTAACCTACGTAGTTCTGTACATTTCAATTTTGGCCGGATAATCTCACAAATTAAGTCAAGACGACCCTATGTCCCCCATCTTAGCACGGCTTAGACTATGGTAATAATAATAATAACAATAACATATATTAATAATCTACCGATTCTGTGAACGGCTTTAATAAAATATATAGATGTGTTAAACACAAAATCAATAGTAACATTTTACACTTAAACAAATGGACGGACATTAAGAATTATAAATACAACAAACAAAATATTGTTTTTCAAAGCACAGGCAATTAATAAAAATAGATTGTGCAAATTAGTATTTACTGTTAGATAATAAAAAATGGTCTGTACAACTATATATTTTTTTCTAAATTGGAATATGCACTATATAAGGGTTTGTACTATATCAATTTTTATACAATAGCAATTTGTATTGACATATATTCGTACCTACATAATTCATAATAATTAAAGTTATAAAGTGTTTTATGTTTAATACACAGGGTGTTACGAGAAAATAGGTCAAGACCCTAAACACAGATTATTTGAGTGACTGAAAAACATTCCTTATGGCATTTTTTTATTTAGGTGCTAGTGTAGGTGTTGCTTCAAGACGACAAAGTTACAATTAAAAGTATTTTGATATAAAAATGAAATTATAGAAGGAAGAAAGAGAGTTGTGATACACACTTTTTTTAAATCAGACATTTTCTTTTTTTCTTGTTTTGATTGTTACAAAATTTTGATTTAGGGTTTCTAACTTCTTTGCGTACGTTATATATTCTTTTTTTTCTAAACTACGCTTAAGGCTTAGCTTGTTTATTAGAATGTGTATTTTAAATACATTGGTTTAATTTTGGCAAACTTTTAGGTAAACTTAAATTTGAGAACTTTAAATAATTAATCTTTAAGGTTATAAATTCTAATCTATCAATATCGTGTGAAGAAAGTGAAATCAAGAGATCTGATTTAAAAAAATATCCTTTTTCTCCATTCAAGTCTCCAATTTTGTTTTATGTGCAAAATTTCAACTTAATATAATAAAACAACGCTTTATTATGTTATTTTGATAGTTTGAAAAATGGCGCTTAAATGAAAAATAAAATAACATAGGAAAGTCCTGCTATTTTCACTAAAACATTCTGTGTTTAATTGACTTAATTTCTTTAGAATTCCCTGTATATTTGCGAAACCTTCAATTTCCAATATTTTTAAAAGAAATTTAGAAAGGGAAAGCAGTTCATGTAAGAAAATAACTATAAAAACAAAAAGAATTAAGTAACAAAATAAAATAAGCCCTGTAACAATATTATTTTATAAAGGAGTTTCTCTATTTTTACTGTAATACGGAATATATATTTTTTTAAAATTGTAATGTAGCTTACTTGACATTGAAAGTATGTGTTTATAAGAGTCTGATAAAAATTATTTTTTTTACAATATTGTTTTTAATTTTGCTATTAACTAACTGTTTTAGTTACGTACTTTGAAATGTGTATAAAGCAAACAATAAGACTATTACAAAATAAAATTTTAATGTTTACAAACAAGCAGATTTTAATAGAAAACAGAATAAACACTGTGTTTCTCTATAAGTTGCACCTCACAAACTGGTACTATTTCTGAAAAAAATAGTATGATATCAAACAAACGTCATAAATCTATTAAAATGAACAGATTTTTTAAATGTATTTCGTACATTTTTTACATGTTTAGATAGAACACTGTTATGATTTACATAAGTTTTTTGAGAGCTCTATCTCTAATAATAAGAAGATATGGTCGGAAGAGTCAATCTATTAGAGGTCGATGTTAATTTCTAGGCAACTAAGTATTCTGCTAGCATATTAGCTAGCATTTACGCACNAAGAAAAAAAACTATAAATAAATTCAAAAGTAATAACACTTAATAAAGTATTTCACATTAATTAAAATAACAGTAGTGTAAAACAGTCATATGCTTTAGTAAAATAGAACAAAATACGATACGAACATTATACATGTACAGTATACACAAGCTAAAATGAAAAATGCCCATAAAGACACAACATTAAATGAATAACAAAATAAACAAAATCTAAAACAAAAAACAAAATAGGTTTGTTATTGATTTTATGTGACAAGAAAAAATGTCAATATTATGTTGGAGGCTGTTGCAATTTTCGCACGACATAAATTGTGATGACAATAATAAATTAGTATTAGGTATTGCGAGATACATCATATTCGAGTAGCGTAGATTGGCGCTAAGCACGTGGAAGTTAAAATGTTCCAAAATTTGAGGACAATCATACACATAATTAATGACTTTATACAAAAAAACAACAGGATGCATATCTCGACGTGTCCCTAAGGATTTATAGTTAAACATGTCCAAAAGAATCTCGTGAGAAAATCCAATGTTGGGATATATTCCTTGAATTCTGAATTTTCTTCGAATTTTTTCTAAGTTATTTTGATAGACGGCATACTGAGGATACCAAACTATTGAAGCATACTCCAAGCGAGATCCTAAAAAACAATTATAAAAATTGACTATTGTAGAAGGATCAGCAAAATCTCTACAATTTCTGATCACAAACCCAAGGCTTGTATAAGATGATGAAGAGATATTGCGTATGTGTTCATGAAAAGATAATTTTTGATCACACGTTGCTCCCAAATCTTTTGTATAGTTGGGACGATCGAGTAAGAGAGTGATTGTCAATCCCATAATCATAGATCACAGGACAAGTCATTCTAGAGAAGGACATTATGTTACATTTGCTTATGTTAAGGGGAAGTCTGTTTTATGTACACCATGTACTATTTACCGATATTAAAGCATTTTGTAAGTTCTGACAATAAAGTATCAATCTTAACAAATGTTTTCATATCATTAGCGTAAAGTTATGAAATTAACATCTAAATATTTAATAATATCATTAAAAAAATACTTAACATTAGGGGTCCTAAACTCCAGACAATCCATTTATGAGTTCAGATTTAAATCCCCTATATTGTACATAGGATACCTTCGAATCAAGTACGATTTAAACAAATTCAACAGTCTTGTAGAGACACCACATACCTACGTCTAAACTTTCCAGCAGAATACTGATCTAACCTGTCAAACGCTTTTGAAAAATCTGTATATCTAACGTCGACTTGACCGTGATTGTCCAAAGTTCTAGAGATATAATCTGTAATACACACAAGGTTTGTTGTAGTCGATCTACCTCTTATAAAATCATGCCGACTAATATCTATAATTTGTGTAACGTAATAAAATGTAATGTAAAATTGGATATATCACTTTTATCGCCATTTTTAAAAACAGGTCGTATTCTCGATATTTTCCAAATATGTGGGAAGGTTTCTGTATTTAAAATCAAATTAAAAATAACCCGTAATGGTCTTACAAATACAGCTGCACAGTATCTCAAAAGAAAGACCGGAATTAGATCAGGCCCCATCGTAAAATTGGATTTTAATTATTTTATACTTCTAACAATATCTTGTTCCTCAGCCTGGTTAAAATCCAGTATTCTACTATGAATTAGCCGACTGTTATAATGTCTGTGTACGTTGTTCTGAATATAAAAGCTAACAAAATATTGTACAAAACCATTGGCTATAAGTTGTCCATTATTTCTTTCTTTTCTTCTTTTCTTCTTTTCTTCTTCTTTTTAAATGATCGCTCTGTAATTTTCTTAGCATAGCATCTACAGCAAATGTGACAGCCATCAGAAAATGGATTGAACTTAGTTTTATATTATTCGTGAAACATTTGCTGTAACTGTTTTTCCATGGAGTTCCACATTGTTTAATTATATTTTCTTCATCATATTGAAAATATAACCTTACAAAATGTTCAGTAGCTGTTTGACAGTCTGTTTGTCTATTCCAATATGTCTTTGCACTTCAGAACTAAACTTTTTGGTATTTTTACATACTCAATTTTGCACTTTTTTCTTTACTGAATAATAGTTTTCACCGAAATGAAACATTTTAAAAAACTACACCAAAATTTCAATTAAAGATGGCATGGCATTACATTTTGATTTCCGTTATTTCTAGTAGTAGCTATAATTTTTTTGAAAGTGTATATTTCAGCACTATGATGAAGTATGTGATGATAAACCTTCCTTCCAAATAATTGTTTATTACTTTTTTGTTAGCAATGTATCCAAGACCTATCTACAATTCGACATTTCTGAAATCGATACCAAGATGCTCTACTAACCATGGGGACTATGTCGAAATAGGACAAACTTACTCATACAATTTAAACAAATATGAAACGATTTCTGTTATTTAATGGCTTTCCTTCAATTTTGGATGAATTTATTAGCGACTGATCATGCCTCAGTTTACACAGTCCAGAAGGTGCTAGACCAGTTAAAGGTGTTTGGAATATACGTGACTTTCTGAGACTCCCGGAAATAAATCAACTAAAAATGTCACATTTTTGTCCCAATTTTGTTCTAATATTGACAACGATACCTCAAAATATTGTATGAATTATTAAAGAGCTTTTTTTAAGTAACTGATTACCATTTACTTCACAATCCACAAAATTTACATTATAATGAAATTATATTATCCAACGAAGTTTCAAACTTCAGCAGTAAATCATAAGCAGGTATTAAAGGACTCGAATTATAGTGGACTCTTTTCTCTGAAACTCGCAAACCTTCCTTGATTAAATTATTTAATGTATAAAGGAATAAAATGCTACAAATACTTTAGTGGCAGATTATTTGATTAAATAACTAAATAACATTACTAATTAATTGTTTCTCTTGTAGAGAGGTTCATGTGAAAACCTGATGTTAAGAGGAAGGATGGTGGGGAGCGTCCCAGGCTTGCTAGATGCGATATCTTGTGGGTCAACGGCAGATATACCAGCAAGCTCGATGGAGGAAGAATCGGCTGTTCCAAATATTCTAACCGAATGTTTTAGACATTTGGAGCAACACGGATTGCACACGCTGGGTATATTTAGAGTCAGTACCTCGAAGAAAAGAATTAGGCAGGTAAGCCAAAAGACAAAGATAATAATACTTGGATTTGTTCAAATAACAAATAATAAGTGCTGAACATTTCAATTTATGTTTTAGCTAAGAGAAGATTTTGACTGTGGTAAAGAAACTACTTTAGAAGATGAGCAATGTCCGCACGATGTAGCCACATTACTTAAGGAGTACCTCAGGGATCTTCCCGATCCTCTTCTTTGCAGAGACCTTTATCACGCGTTTGTCCAAACACAGAGTGAGTTTTACATTTATGATGGAATTATTTGAGAGATGAATATTAATTTTCCTTTGTTAGGGATACGCAACAGGAGACTGCAATTTGAGGCCTTACAACACTTGGTTCAGCTTTTACCTGCAGCCAACAGAGACACCTTATACGCTTTATTGAGTTTTCTGGCCATTGTGGCCAAATACTCGAATGATTCTCAGGACGAATCAGGTAATACTGATTTCAGCATTCAGCAAGCAAGTTGAGGATGGTTGGATCACAATATTTATTTATCTATAATAGATAGTAAAATAAAAGCAATAGAAAAGTCATTTGCATCAAATATTAATTAAATAGTAATGTTTTGGAATAAATAGTATTGTTATTAAAATAGTTGATCTACCCTGTCAGGAAACGAGTTGGATAGGTTTGGTCGTTCTTTATATTGGTAAACCACAGCTTAGTAAAACGTCTCATAGGTTATTTATACTCTTAGCCAAATTATCCTCTTTTTTCTGATAATCATTTATTCACACTACATCTTGACTCTAAGCAAGAAGTTATCCTTTATTTCTTAAATTCTTTTATATACTTTCTAACTCAAATTTTTCTAGAGCCAGAGTATATAATTTTGATATTCCAGTAAAATTTTTAATGACCGACTCAATCATATCCTATTTGAAATCTGATTTCATGGTATCTTAAAAGTTATTGTTACTGGCCCAACTCTCCTCGCTTTACACTACGTGCCAGCACTAAAACATTTTTACACTAAAATATTCTAGGTGAACCCATCATCGGAAACAAAATGGACTCAAGTAATTTGGCAACCGTATTTGCACCGAATATTTTACATTGCATAAAACCGGGTTCCAAAGACACAGCTGATCGACCAGAAGACAGGATAGACATAATCAACGTGGTTCGAACCTTAATAGATCATTACAAAATAATATTCTCTGTGTCTGCTGAACTTCTTGATGAAGTTTACGTGCATATGATGGATACCCATCCCGAAGCTTTAGATCAACTTTTAAGCAAAAAGGATGCAGTGGGAGGTGCAGATGAGTAAGTATCGCCGCAATTCCGATAAAAATATAAATTTGAAATATAGTGGAATATATCTAATCAAACTGACTTTTAAAATTCTAGGTCTGTAGATGAATTAGACAGTGAAAGTAATTCAGCCCCTTGGACACCAACAATACCCACCTCTGAAATGTCGATTGAAAACACTGATGGTAGAGGAACGCTATCGGAACCGAAGAAGACTTACTCCAGGGAGGAATTTTTGCATGAAGCTGCTGCTACTGGTGGTCCTAACGTTGGCATGAGAATAAGGTAACCATTGCAATTAGGAATTCATTCATTCTTAGTGTCAAGGTGTGTTGTGTAGAACCCACTTTTTGTGGTTACTTTGATAATAAAAAAGTTTTTGAGGGCATCATTCCTGGTGAATTTATGGTAAAACATTCGCCAGTTTAAACAAATGTTGTACCTTTCTTTCAAAATATTCAAGTATAAATATAATTACTAAACTGCGACCGTCTTTTTAGGCACAAGGACAAAATTCGAGAAAGGAGTACCCGCAGACGTCGCGAAAAGAACGAAGATGGCACTACACCTTCATCAGCGATATCAATCATTTCCCGGTTTCGTGGACAGAAGGAAGACGACAACCAGTACGGAAAAACAAGATCGTCGTCCATAGAAAGCACTAGTTCTACACACACAGACACCGATGTCACTAGAGTGTTAAGAATCGCAGATGATAGCTACGAAAGGAGGAAATCTTCACCTTACGTTCTCGATAACAGTGGCGTCATAACAGCCAGCTTGACCATCCCAGTACATACCCAAAACCAATCCCTATCCTATAACGTTGACGACGACATTCCTTACATAGAGGACGTTGATAACGCAAGGCAGCAAATCACCGTCGGAGTGGTCCGAACCCCAACCGCCCCTCCAAGACGAAGGAACCACTCAATAGGTAGTGATTCCTCTGTAGCATCCAATGTACAACCTATTACTGGTTCTATTTCTTTAGTTCAAAGTTACGATTCCGCCGTGGGATCGTCCGCAACGTATTCCAGTCCAGTGCAGAATACCCCCACTTCGGTTTCCAGCAGTATCGCGGACGCGGGAACGTACAGTTCACCTCCTTCGTGGGCTTCTACCCCTCCAACTTCACCAGACAGTGTACACACGTCGGTTAACTACATACCTGACGACATACAGCCTCCTAGGATACTGTCTAAGTCTTCCAAAAGTGTCAATTTATCCAAGGAAGCGCCGCCCACACTGCAGAAAGTGTCGTTCTCGTCAGTCCAGGAGGTGCAGCAGATCAAAGAAATTAAGGAACCTCAAAAAGTATATCAGAGAGAGTTGTCGTACACGAAACAAAAACTCGGTACCAGTACGGAAGTCACCAGAAGCTCGTACGAAACCAGCAGCCGACCTAGTGAACCGAAGTTCACTCCTAGTATCTCTAATATTGGGAACGCTGTTTTGCGGTCGAAGACAGCTGACTTTGAGAGGATAATCAAGATAGACACTAACAAACCAAAGTCACCGGTGATGAGCGCGGCGGAACGGGAGAAAAAGAAATATACGAAGAGGAGGTATACGGATTCCAGGCATCAAACCAGGCATATCCCAGACGCCGAGGCGCTAGAGTCGGCGTCTGCACAGGCCAAAAAAGACGACAAATTGAGCAGTTCGCAGGCGGGGCCTGTTTACAAGAGACGGGAGCTCATATCCAGCGTACCATCTAAGTAATGCGGAAGAAGGATATTGGAAAGTGAAGTGTGTTCAGACTTATGTACATAATCAAAATAAAGTGATAAGTGTTTTAGATCTAGTCTTATCTAGTGTTTACTGTCCCAAAGAAATGTTATTTATTTTTTAAGAATGTATGTAAAATAGTGTGTTGATGTATAATTAAATCAATTAAATTGTATAATTTATCAGAAATAACTTATTTTTTAGTCTTGTGGCTTTGTTCAAAATATTATGTATCATATTTTCATCCGATTAGAAGTTTCTTGCCATATGTTGGCTGTAGTTTGTAATTATCATATTTCTTAAAAGATACTGTTACTATTTTCTATACCTACCTAGGAAGAGTCAAGCGAATAATGACGGTTAACGAAATAAAATTCACAGGAAAAATATTAATACACAATAACAATATGTAGTTGTTTTTATTCCAGTGAATATTTATCCTATTCTAAAAAGTGGAGCAACAACTAAGGAACTCAAAATAGCGGTGTAGATTTATTATCTGGCATTGCAAATAAATCTTGCTCTTAACAGCAATTCTTCCGCTGCCTTTTTTGTAATGATTTACAATTGCAGGTGTCGCCAATTATTCTATTTTTCTTTTTAGTTACCGTGGCGCTACGCCAAATAAATGTTAATCAGATATCCGAAATGGAAGCCTTCTCAAGAAGGGCAATAGATTATCAAGACTTTCGGGATCAATTTAAAATTTTAACGTCTACCATTGATCAAGTTGCAACAGATTTTAGAAGAAATCATGAAAATATAATTATGCTTATGGCTTTACAAGAAGAAAACTTTGACGAGGAAGAAAATGTGCGTAAAGAATTTGACCAAAGTTTATCGCATGTTAGAATAGTGCTGTTACAGATTGCAAATGAGGAACCTAGTACGGATTTTAAATCTGTCACGGGTGTTGGCACTGGTAACTCTAGTAATAGTAAAAAAAATATTAAATTACCTCGTATAGATTTACCCAAATTTTTCGGTGAAAATATAACACAGTTTAAAGCATTTTATGATCTTTACAACACGCTTGTGCATAACAACAATGATTTAGATCCTATTGGAAAAATTCAATCTTTTAATCACGCATTTGGAAGGTGCAGCATTGTCACATGTTCAGAAAACACCCCTAGCGGCGGTAAATTATCAAAGCGCGTATGACTCTTTTGTAAACCGATTTTATGATAAAAAGGCTATAGCTTTCACTCTTCTACAACAATTGGAGGACGCACCAGTTATAACTAACGCAAAAAACGCATCCGATTTAAATCAATTATTAACAATTTATGGAGAAAATATTGCTGGTTTAAACAATATGGGTTTTTGTACTGCTGATTGGGATTTCCTCCTTCTTTATTTATTTTCAAAGCACCTCGATGAAAATACACTTACGGAATTTGAATTAGAATACCCTAGTACTAATGCATTAGCCTCTTTTCAATCCTTATTTGATTTTGTTTCATTACGTAATAAAGCAAAAACTTCAGTTCAACGCACTAGATTTAAAACGCAGATTTCTGATAAATCTAAAACAAATATTTCAAACAAATCGCATCATTCTTATCAAAAACCACGAAACTCGTTTTTCCTTNCTGTGTCTTTAAATTGTGCAAATATAACACATTTTAATATTTATTTGATTTATTTATCATATCTAAAAGAGATTAATAACACCTCGTGGTCTTCATAATGTTCTGCATGCTAATTTTTATATTTACACGTAAATTTGACTTATTCACGTACGTCCATGAACGTTCGGGCATTTTCGGGATTTCGGCTGCCAAATTTGGCTGCTAATTTCACACATGTGAAATTAATGAACCGGTAGCACTAGAAACGGTGTTTGGTTGGATATTAATGGGCAAATTCGATAATTCGCGAAAAAGTAACACTCACTCATTTTTTCTCGCAAATAAAATTAAACAATATAAGACGCGTATCCTAAGTGAAAAGGAGTGCTCGCTAATTAAAATTTTTCGCAAAACGCATAAATACCCAGTGCCGGAGAAAACTCTGAAATCATCTAAGAAAACTACGCCGAATGGTAAGTGCCGATTCAATTCCATTTCATTGTTTCATACAGTCCATTTACTTTTCTTTTTCTTACACTGAACCAGCGCGTAACGCTAAATAATATGAAATTTACAACATATTAATTGGTTATATATTAGCAAAGGCATTTTTGACTCTACATATTTCCTTATTTCCGACAATAATAATTAAAAAAGAAAGAAAAAAGTAGACTTAATCCTTAAGATCTTTTCTCAAAACTCAATTCAAAATTTAAAAGTAAAGATACGACAGTTTTTCTCATTTTAATACCTTTCTTACAATATATATACTAGTATATTAATGATTACTCCCATTATTTTACCTGTCATTCCAATCAAAATGGATCACCCTTTACATCAATAAGTAGATATATTCCTTTTATTTAATTGCACTAGCAAGAAAAGTTTAAATAAATAATAATAGAGATCTGTCCATAAGTCGATTATACAAATTTACTTTTGCCAAATAAGAAATATGTCAAAAATATGTATAATACATGACCACAGGTAACGTTTCGAACATTTTCAAAAGTTAAAGAGGGCAGTTTTCTGTTTTATTTATCTATTTTCCATAGATATCGTGTAATGTTACTCTCGTTGGAGAATATTAAACCAATTTTCAAAAGTTTGAAACATATTTATTACTATTTAGCAAAATAAACACCTTTTATTTTTAATTAGGTACACATTTGTTTCTATTAAGAAGTAAATAATTGTTAATATGTTAATATGATTAATATAATAATGATTTGAAAATATTTTTTTCAGATGTAGATATACTTTTACGAATATTGCATTTGGAAAAAACAGAAATTTTGTAAACATAATCGGTTGCTCCCTTGTAAATCAATTCCATCCTTTTCCATTTTATATACCCAGTGTTACAAAATAAAACAACAATACATTAATATAATATTTTTATACTTATTTTCACATAGATATAAATAAAGCTGTCAAATATAATTTAGCGGATATAAAAATGGACTGATCAGTGACTTTCCTACATTATCTATATATACAATATTTACCACTATCTCATAAATACAAAAATAAAGGTGTGTCATTTAGAAAATCGAACTACTTAATGTCAGTAGGTACACGTAACCTACGTAGTTCTGTACATTTCAATTTTGGCCGGATAATCTCACAAATTAAGTCAAGACGACCCTATGTCCCCCATCTTAGCACGGCTTAGACTATGGTAATAATAATAATAACAATAACATATATTAATAATCTACCGATTCTGTGAACGGCTTTAATAAAATATATAGATGTGTTAAACACAAAATCAATAGTAACATTTTACACTTAAACAAATGGACGGACATTAAGAATTATAAATACAACAAACAAAATATTGTTTTTCAAAGCACAGGCAATTAATAAAAATAGATTGTGCAAATTAGTATTTACTGTTAGATAATAAAAAATGGTCTGTACAACTATATATTTTTTTCTAAATTGGAATATGCACTATATAAGGGTTTGTACTATATCAATTTTTATACAATAGCAATTTGTATTGACATATATTCGTACCTACATAATTCATAATAATTAAAGTTATAAAGTGTTTTATGTTTAATACACAGGGTGTTACGAGAAAATATGTCAAGACCCTAAACACAGATTATTTGAGTGACTGAAACATTCCTTATGGCATTTTTTTATTTAGGTGATAGTGTAGGTGTTGCTTCAAGACGACAAAGTTACAATTAAAAGTATTTTGATATAAAAATGAAATTATAGAAGGAAGAAAGAGAGTTGTGATACACACTTTTTTTAAATCAGACATTTTCTTTTTTTCTTGTTTTGATTGTTACAAAATTTTGATTTAGGGTTTCTAACTTCTTTGCGTACGTTATATATTCTTTTTTTTCTAAACTACGCTTAAGGCTTAGCTTGTTTATTAGAATGTGTATTTTAAATACATTGGTTTAATTTTGGCAAACTTTTAGGTAAATTTAAATTTGAGAACTTTAAATAATTAATCTTTAAGGTTATAAATTCTAATCTATCAATATCGTGTGAAGAAAGTGAAATCAAGAAATCTGATTTAAAAAAAAATATCCTTTTTCTCCATTCAAGTCTCCAATTTTGTTTTATGTGCAAAATTTCAACTTAATATAATAAAATAACGCTTTATTATGTTATTTTGATAGTTTGAAAAATGGCGCTTAAATGAAAAATAAAATAACATAAGAAGTCTTGCTATTTTCACTCAAACATTCTGTGTTTAATTGACTTAATTTCTTTAGAATTCCCTGTATATTTGCGAAACCTTCAATTTCCAATATTTTTAAAAGAAATTTAGAAAGGGAAAGCAGTTCATGTAAGAAAATAACTATAAAAACAAAAAGAATTAACAAAATAAAATACGCCTTGTCACAATATTATTTTATAAAGGAATTTCTTTATTTTTACTGTAATACCTACGGAATATATTTTTTTTTAAATTGTAATGTAGCTTACATGACATTGGAAGTATGTGTTTATGGAGGCTGATAAAAATTATTTTTTTTACAATAGTGTTTTTAATTTTGCTATTAACTAACTGTTTTAGTTACGTACTTTGAAATGTGTATAAAGCAAACAATAAGACTATTACAAAATAAAATTTTAATGTTTACAAACGAGCAAATTTTAATAGAAAACAGAATAAACACTGTGTTTCTCTATAAGTTGCACCTCACAAACTGATACTACTTCTGAAAAAATTAGTATGATATCAAACAAATCTATTAAAATAAACAGATTTTTTTAAATGTATTTTGTACATTATTTACATTTTTAGATAAAACACTGTTACGATTTCAAGTACATAAGTTTTTTGAGAGCTCTATCTCTAATAATTAGAAGATATGGTCGGAAGAGTCAATCTATTAGAGATCGATGTTAATTTCTAGGCAACTAAGTATTCTGCTAGCATATATAACATTTACCCACATTCTTTCGTTTGTATTTTCGGTTTATAAGATCTAGATGCATCAAACCTTGTACCATTGTAATCGTGAGAAAGTTTTATTTAAATATGTATATAGAAATTTATAGCATGTTCAATTTTTATCTCGTACAAAATTCTGACGTTCTTGAAAATTCATACACTTCTTAAATCTAAAATAAGAGTTACATGTGGTACGCTAATTATCGAAAAAGTTTTTTAGTATTGAGAATTTTATTCTGTAGTAATAACAATTTTTGATATAATTTAATGAGAAAATAAACAAAAGATGAAATTTTAAATATTTACATATAAATATCATCTTTGTGAAGTATTATTTAAGAATCTATTACTGAATATTGAACATTCATATAAAAAAATTTCTCTTGCATTCTTCATACAAAAGCTGATTGCCAAGTCCCAAAACATCAATTGCCTGACTTTCTCTCAATGACTAACGTTAAAATAATTGACAAAGTAACTTCTTTTGCTCAAAATATAGAAAAAAACCTTATATCTATACCCCCCCTTTCACACAATCATGTCCAACTTGTGTTATACTTCCGTACTATGAGTCTGTATTCTCACTTTCTTGACACTACCGTTTCGCGACATGGTGGGTGACGTTCCTGAAAATCCAGGATTCTGAATTCCCAGTCCCTCCTTGGGCTTCGGCTTCTTCAGACTGGATCGCAGTGGCGACCTGGTTATGGACGATCCTACCGTGGACCCGTTGGTAGATCCCACCGTAGTGGAAGTGGTGTTCATGGAAGCCATACTGCCGTTCGAGACGTAGGGTTTTCCACTGGCATCTGTCATCGAAATGCCAGCACCTAAAATCATAACAATGGATGAAGTATTGAAAATGTCTTTGCCAATAGATGAGTTTTGCTTAAGCAAATTTAACCTGTTATAAATCAATGTCAATCTTTTGCAAATCACATTCTACCTTTCTCAAATCAAATTCAACCTATTTCTACAAAAATGCACGCTAATTATTCATTAATTCACATAAAATTCACTGACCAGGTAACCTCACCACGAATGGAAAATCTTTAATTCTGTAAAAGCTCCTCGATGACGCCAATTATCAATATCAAGTGAAATTTTTCCAAAGCAAATTGTAGGTGGCGCAGTTCTCAAATAAAATTTTTCGATACCAGGAACTCTGGAGTCTTTTTCTTAAATTTTGAAATTATAATAATTTTTGAGATATCGCACTAAGTTAAAGATACTCAAAACTTATTATTGAAAATATTATTATTTACTTTAATAAAAAATTGAGTCTTCTTTGCGGATCATAAGGAATAATAATTGGTGAAAATATTTCTTTGACACGATGAAAAAGATATACAACATTCTAACTGAAATGTGTTTAATTTATTTGCAACCGAGTTTCCTTGAATCCGCTTCTTCAAATAAAAATTTCCTTCTTGTTAAAAAATTTATCTTCAAGTTTTAAAAGTTTTCCGTTAGTTTAGGTAAAGTACAATCGTACTGCAGCTCCAGTATTCCGCCTACACTCGCCATAAATCATAATTTTGTTGTACTATTCTTCATTCATGCATTGAACCGTTTTAAATAAAATAGTTTAATAGCAGAGCTATATAGGCAATTTATAACTGTAATTTTTATCAAAATGTTGCACTGTATCATTAGAGATAGTGTAGCTAACAAATTCAACAGTTCTACCATTCGAGTAATTTTATAAAGAAATAATGCAATTTTAAACTAATTTTAAATCTTTTTGAAACTGTTCATGTTTGATCTTTGAAATTATTAAATGTTTTGATTTTGATAATAATTAAAGTGTGAATCGGGAAAACTACATTCCAAAGTTGTTGCCATAGAAAGATTTCTTTTGACACTATCAACATTTTATCAATTTGCTTCTCTCTTATTTAGCGTCATTAAAGAGCTCTATCAACCGACATTTACAGAATCAAAAAATATTTTATTTGAAACATCTTGTATATAATTGAAACAGCCAATTATGTTTTACCATTTGTTCCAATAGGCTTTTTCCAATTTAGGCAGTATTTAAAGAAATTCAACTCATGCTCCAGCTGCGAGCATTGGGCAAGGAACTACATCGTCTACGAGAGAAAATGGATACATTAACAGTAATACAGAACAAACCATCAAAAGGACAAAAGATCCGGCAACAATCTATCTACCCTATACACAAGGATGCACTGATGAGCTGCCTGTTAAGGAAACAGCTGCAATACTGTCTACAGTTTAATGAGGATAGGAGCAGTCTTTCCCAAGATGACTTACAATAATTATGTACTCTAAGGTTCTGATATATACAGCATCCCATGCATATGTCATAAAGTTTACATTGAATAAGTAGGGAATCACATTAGCAGGAGGTTAATGGAACAAAGGCGTGACTTGATAAATATCAACGAAGAAAATTTAGCAGTTGCGCAAATAATATCAGACTTTTAATGAGAGCCAGAGGATTTTTTCCGAGAATTTATGGCGAAGACATCCAGAAAACTTGAGATTTTAAGACACACACCAAAAAAAATAATGCTTTATAAATAACACGATTATTCCTGAACTCTGGAACTTAAGGTATCTCTCAAACTCCAGTGTATGCATAAACCTCCTTTGCTAATTACATTCAACTTAAGTTTATAAATTTTGCTATGCGGATATAGGACGAGGAAACCTAAAGGGTGAAATAGTTTTGGAAAGTATAGGTAAACGCTGAATTATTAAATAGTTTACGCAGACTTGTTAGAATTAAAATATAACCCCAAATTTCTGATAGCGGTATTTCCCTTCATCAAACGTTTATGTAGGAGGATCTGATAATTTGTAAAGGGAAACAGATAGGAGGATGACGTACGGGCGCCGTGTTTATCTTATTACCTTTAAATAGCAGGCAATTTGCTTTTAGATTTTCATGTCGATAAATCTTTAAGGGTTCGGCACATATTTAGTTTATCATTTTATACTGACAAATTTACATTATAAAGGCAAAATTTCAATCGAATCAAACATATAGCATTTTACTCTACATACCCTTTTTACATTTATGTATAAGGCTTGGTATTTCTTACTAATACTCAATGAAACATGGTAGGTTTGCTATACCTACATTGTTTATTATCATTAGTTAATACAATTCTATACGAATTTGGTAAAAATGCAAGAAAGTAATTGTGTTCCTGTGGCTGCTTTCGAAGAAGCTCAAGAAGCAATTTTCCATTTATTGCCAGCTAAATCCAGGGAACATTACGCAAAAGTGTTCGATGAATTTAACGAATGGAGGAAAAAGAGGAGAGTAATGGCAATAAATGAAGAAGTCATGCTATCGTATTTTTTAAATTTGAAGAAAAAATATGCAATTTCATCTAAGTATTCGATGTTAAAGGCTACTAAAAGGGTTTACAAAAATATAGATATTGGAAAATATAACAAGCTTACTGCTTATTTGAAGAGTGAATCGAGAGGATGCAAAGCAAAAAAGCTGCAGTATTGGAAAGAACATGTTGAAAGAATTTTTGACTGGAGTTTCCGATAAAGAATATTTAATTATTAAGGTAATATCTCTTTGCCTTTTACATGTTGTTAGGTATATAGTGAACTTTGAATTATTTTAGGTTGCACTAATAATGGAGGTTTCTGGTGTTTGTCGATGCTGCGAAGTGACAAATTTGAGAATTAATGACGTACAGGACGTTTCAATACTTAACACCAAGACGGGCATTTCAAGAAAATTTACTATTATTATAGAAGAAGGATTTCGCGTGAATGCTGTTGAAATATGCCGAAAATATATTTCTCTGCGCCCAATTCGCCCAACAAAAGACAGATTCTTTTTAAGATACATCAATCAAAAATGTACTTTTCAGCCTGTTGCAATCAACACATTGACGAATAGTTGCTGCATTCCTGAATATCGCAAATCCAGGAGCATATACTGGCCATTGTATGAGGCGCCCTTCAACAACTTTATTCGCCAATAAAGGTACTGATCTTACAATCATCAAACGGCATGGTGGATGGAAGAAAGTAAATGTTAATAAGTAAATAAATTAAATTTGATTTATTATAGGTTTATTATTTTTTCATTATTTCATTATAAGGCTTAAATTTTGAGTCTACGTAGAAAAATGTAATATCAATTCGTATCTTTTATACATGAGTAATATAGAATAAACCTCAATTATTATTAAAACAGCTGTTATGCTTATTTCAAATTTACGTTTTTCGAATTACGTAAATAAAAAACAACGTTATTTCATTAAACATTGTTTACAACCGCTTATTGAAAGGACAACTTGCATTGTAATTTACGCAGGTAGAACAAATCGTCAGTAATTGTCTACTAATACAGTATGATTAATGACTTTATACTTAAAGGAAATCTTTATAATAGAAACAAAAACAATGCAAATAACACTGACGTAAAAACGAAGGTGTAAGTAATACAAACAACTGATTTATGTCACACAGAGTTCATTGCGATTGTTGACTACTGACATTCAGTGTTATGATTCATAGTACAAAAGATTGTAAATAAAGGATTAGCAAGAAAAACAAGAATCCGGATTGAATATAAAAATAATTGAAGGAAAACTGGTTTGAATGCAAAAAAAATAAATTAATGACGATCGACACATACTCGTACGTGTTCTGTTTGATTTGAACAAGCTTCTAATTATTACATGTTTGTCTCTTGAGTCACCTCACTGCTGAAAGGTTTATGGATAATCCACAATAATATGCTTGCTATCGAATATGTTATTTTTTTCTTGACTGAGTGAATGAATATAATAGATGTGAAATCGAAGTAGAAAAATTAAAAAGCAGTGCTAACGACAATCTATTTGAACCACAAATATGAATAACTTACCATTTGACCTTTGATCCCTAAATCCTGGGTTACCGTAGGTGGTAGGTTCAGCTTGTACTGATACAGTGGTGGGATCTCCCCCTTCCCTCCTAGCGAAGAACATGTCATATAGCGACATGACGAATAACGTTGAGTTTAAAATTATTAGGAGGATCTGAAGCAAAAAAGGATGTGTTCAAATAGATAATAATCAGAAAAATCAAAATAAAATAAATCAGCAATATTGAGCCAATCAACCAAATTATTAATTATGAATCTTTTCAATATCATTCATAATATATACAATATATTTACTGTTGTCATTTTACATTATAGAATCCCTGAAAATTATTGAGCTGAAATAAGTAATGTTAAAATTAAGTCAATTATTTCGGTGAAATATTATTTACAATGAATAAAAGGGATAGAGCTACACAAGCGATGCAATAAAATTAGAATAATTTAATGAAAATACAATACATATTGTTACGCAATATAATTGTACATGTTGCTATTAACCTTGATTTGTTTGAGGTAATATCGATAAATTTATAAAGTTTCAAATGACGTATTATAGTACACGGTACAAAATTAGTTTGACGTCAGTACCGAATATTAATAATAATATGTACATAACTACAGTCCTGTATTTAATGTGCCACATTAAATGGAAGAAAAAATATAAAACTATTCGATGTGCCAAGTGAATAAAAATAAGTACAGCAATAGTAAGTTGTGGTACTACTGACATCGAATGGAAGTATCTATAAAAATATTAGCTCTAATTATTCTCACTGTTAAAAATTATTGAAAATGAATAAATAAATGTGCGTTTAAGTGTGTACAATATGTACATCTCATTTTTAAACGTTCTGTACAATTGTAGAAAGGTATATATTCTTGAAAAATAAAGTACACAATAAGTTTTGTAATATAGAGGTTACTAATAATAACTTTCTGTGTCCTTATCTTATTTCAAAAGTATGAAGTTGTCGACAATCGTGCTTTCTTTGGTAATTTCTTCAGCGATGCTGTTAGAAAAGGTTCCTTTCAATTTGCGCTAGCAATATCAAAGTTTGTAGTGGTTTCAAAGTGGAATTTACTTGTGAGTTAACTGTTCCTTGAATGATTACTTACAAAACAAATACGGTCAGTAAGTTTCTGACATTAGCTCGTATAAGACTAGTGAAATAATCCTGACACTCTTATTAGATGTTTGTGGAAAGGTTTTTGCGGATATTTTGCTATTAGAACTTTAGTCATTCGTTAAAGATAATATATAACAAACAGTTTTGCTCTGACTTTATCAGAGTTCAGTAGTTGTGTTTTTCTCTTTGATAATGTAACATTTTCTACCTAAAACTACAGTTTGTTAAAGTTCAGAGTAATTCAGGGAAGTAATAAAAACATTGCAAATAAGCAAAGAAAATGAGTTAAATATACAGGTGTTCTATAGAGGGAACTAGGTACAAATACAATTAAAATCTGACTTTAGCAATAGAGGATGCTACAAAGAAGTAGGTCAAAAACGACTTGACATATCATTTGAGTGCAAATAATGAAACTTTCCTTATACCACTTTTCATTTGGGCGCATTTGTAACTTTTCAAGTTACAGGATTGTTATTTTATATATTTCCATGAAATCTCAAGAAAATTTCATGAAACATAAAACTAGTTTTCTCTATATAGAAAAATATAAAAGAAAAGTGGGGTAGAATATTAATGACCCTGTACATATCTGGTACAAATTTTTAATTCCAATATCAACTATTTGAGGTGTAACATAGAAATGAAGATAACTAAAATCTCAATATTGTTAATTAAATTCTTGAAATTAAGTAAATTAGGAGAAATCTGGACAATATTAAAGGCAGTATATACAAATAAATATTTTTTTAAAAGAATGTCATGCGCCAAATGTACAAAACAAACAAAAAAATTGTCACATATCCAAAGAAGTTATAATATCTCATAAACCAAGACCTAAAGAGTTGAATGGGTTCTCCGTTTGAAGAAAGATGTCTGTGCAAAATTTAAATGGAGTTATCAATTTTTTTTTATTGTAAAATTTACGACATATCTAGATTTTAAAAATGGCATAAAAAAATCCATTATTTCATCTCAATGAATCTACGGTTGAAGGAGTAGTACATATTTCTTTTTCTATAGATATTACCGGAATTATATTAGGAATAATAATGTCAATTTAGAATTCGCATTTAAACATAGGTAGGATTTGTTCCTGTATGTATTTTATACCTATTGTAAACACAAAAGTCTATAACTAATATGAGAAATTGTGTTTTCCGTAGTTATTTATTTAGGGCATAGTTTTAGTTTGTTTCTCTATTTACTAGGCATTTTTTTGCCATAAAACCAATTGCCAAAAGAATCAGTCAAGTGTTATATTCAATCTATAATATATCAATTTTTTTTGTCTACACTCGGAATATCTTTTCTTTTTAAAATAAATTTGACAATTTAAAGTGAATTGTATTATTACTTCTTCTTTTAATATTTTTTATTTGTTTATTTTTTCATTGTGAGATTTTGCATTAGGCAAAAATAGTTCCACAAAAATATACCTTGACTGAATCTTTTGGGTTCATCTGATTAATTTTTAAATATTTCCAAAATACTAAATAACCAATAAACAGAGAAAAATAAAAATTTTAAATCATGTTCAAGGATTATAAAGTAAATGTTTAATAGATAAAATATTTTCATACAATAACTTGTCTGTGAAAAATGTGCATACGAAATGTTACATCAAATATTTTCTTACTTTCAAGTAAGTATTTATTAAGTATTAGTGACACTATCCATGAATATCAACAGTAGTGAATTAATAAATAATAAATGTAAACATGTCAGTCGATGTTCAAGACATATTTGTTATTGATGTATTCATGTTTCTGATCCATTTATTGAGCAACCTGGAGGATATGCGCTCATGATACTGACCTGAATATAAAATGCAGGCCCTCGGGTTATTTCGTAGCCATTGTTTTCCCTGTCGTCGATCTGCAAGGCGAAGAGACCCGCTGCTGCAATCGCCAACAACGCTAAAAAATAATATAATAAATGGGGTGTGTTAAAATTTTGAAAGTATTTCAAAATATTTTTTTTTTTCTTATAACAATTAAAATATGTACAATATTTGGCAATTGCCTGTACATGAGCGAGTCTTTCATATATAAAAAAATTTCCTTATAGAAAGGTTTCTATGTGTTTCTATGCGTTCCCGAAAAATTTGTAAAAACGATTATTATAGAACTAATAATTTCTAATTAAAAGTATAAATCTGCTGAATTCTTATATCAGTCAGTAGCGTAGATTCCGGAAGTTTCTATCACTAAGAACCCTCGAAATTCGACACTATGGTTGTTTAAGAAAACAGACATGTTCTATTTTTTTCGAAAAATGGGCAATTTTCAAACTTTACCATGCACTTCAATAAACCTAAAATAACCCTAAAACTTCTCGTTCCCCTGAAAAAAGTATTTCGGACTTTCCATTGTTACTTTGTAAAAATTTGTAAATTGTATTTCTAGAGAAAGAACAAAGATCCTTTGAACTTTTTTGTGAAATGAGTGGTGTTGGTGTTACTTTAAGTTTATTGAAATGTGTGGCAACTATATTGCAAGTTAAAAAAATTAAAAATTAGTCATTTAAGGTACGACATTTTTAGTTTGTTTTCACTAACATACGGCAGGGTGGGTGAGGGAACACCATGTCGCCGCGCCGGCGCCGCTAGGTATAACAAATAAAACCGGAATCGGCAATCTAATGACCATAAAGCCATAAAGTCGTAACTGCAATTATCCCCAATTTCAAGTACAGGGTTACTAATACTCCACGACATCAGTTTTATCATTTTGTTAAGAAAAAAAGACGAATTTGTTATTATTATAGGCTATATACCTCAAAATGTGAATGTCGTATCTACAATGTCCATGCCTTTGTTAGAAATAAAGTCGTATCTGAAAATGTTAGAATAAAAAGTCGTATATGTAATATTTATCACACAGATACGACCAATTCGTCTAACAACTGTACAACAGCGTCATCTACAAAATAATATCTACCACCTGTCAGATTCACTTTGTAACTAGCTAGCAGATAAACAATGATTTGCTGTGTTAATTATTCAGTTTTTAATTAGTCTCGTTGTTCCTAGACTGTTAAAGTGTGAGGTAGTAATATTTATTATATCCCCGGAATTGTTTATTTAGTAAGTAATTACATTTTTTGTTCCTGTTAATCTAATTATGCATATTGTCAAACATAACATAAAATTTAAAAAACATGGTAAATGGTCAGTATCTTTTTTTTCTCGTTACAGTTAAGAATTTCCAACAATTTCCAATATGAGTAAACGGGGTAAAGTTATGGTTGCTCTTGCTCTGAACAAGCAATTTGCTGCGAAAATCGATTTTTTTTTAAAGTTGAATTATTCAAAAAGGCAGCGAGAGGATGACAGTAGTAGCAGCGAATATGAGCCAGATATGGAAGAAATGGATAGGGCTAGTGATAGTAGTAGTAGTAGTAGTAGTAATTGTAACAGTTTTAAAGATATTGCAAATGTAAAAACAAAAATAAAGGTCATAAACAACGCATCATTATACAAAGAAGGGGAGGTTTTTGTAGAAAGTGTAAATGTAGTAAACAGTATCATAAGTGATATTTTAAAAAATGTGTGGGTGGATTTAAGTGCCAGAAACAATAAAAATGGAGAAAAAATCCAAGAGTTAACATTTTGAGCAATATTATATTGCGTGTTTCTAATGAACGTTTTTCAGAAGTAGTAAAGGGCATTATGGACGAAATTTTTGAAAATATCTGGTTCTCTGCAAGCAATGACCAATTTACTAAAAAAGGCGAATTACGCAAAAGAAAAAAATACGCTCTAAGTAAATTTGAACGGAATCAAATTAAAATCAAGACCAGCAAGAGTAAATATCAAATCAAAGCATCTTGCACAAATTATAAGAAACAAAGTCAGTTAAAAATTGATAGTAATAGGCAAATAACAATTAATGAACAATTGAAATTTATTGTAGATACTACTTTTCTCATAGTTTCAATTTCCATCATTATTAACAGAAAATGTCGTATGTGTCAAATATCATACTCTGGCTGTATGCACAACAAAATAAAGTGAAAAAACTAAATCTGCAAGTAAAAATTAGTAGTATGTAATAAAAATATCTTTTCTGAATGTAATAGTCTTCACGGCAAATTAGACTAGAGAAAATGCTAATTATCTCAAAATCAACTATTTGACAGTTACGACTTTATGACTTAACAGGGCAGAGTAGGTAGGTAAGTAGTTTTTGTTTTTTCTTTAGCGACAAAATTTTTCCTGTGTCTTAAAAAGTAAATACATAGGTATATAATTAATAGCATAAACCAAGGCAGTGTTTCTCAAATCCCCGAAACGTATTCATCAATTCCACCAACAGTGTCCTGGCGTTCCAGAACCTCCACAACCCATTCTTACACGATGGGGGACGTGGTTAGAGGCATCATTTCATTATTTTAAAAATTTTCACAAAATAAAATCCGTAATTTTACAATTCGATGCCAAAGAATCCGCTGCTATTCGGAAGAGCTAAATAAAATTTCAAGATAGGCGGATTGAAACACAGTTCCAATTGCGGATGCTATAAAAAAAAACTTACGAAAATACTGCATTATAGTTAAATGAATCACTGTAAATAGTAGATGACATACAAACAGTGCTATATGCCTTAAGTGTCGAGAAAAGTGTTTACGTCAGAGAAGGTTTGACAATGTGTTAAGAAAAAATCCAGATTTCTCCAGATTAAGAGACCTTCATAGCAATGGCTCTCCCATGGATTCATTAACTGCTTTTAGAGATTACTTCAAATATGCACCTATAATGTTATTAGATGTCGAACAATCGTTTTCGTTATATCAGAATATTTTTTCTCCGTTGCGGACATCGCTTAAAGAATCTACTGCGGAGACATATGCAATGTTCCAGATATTTGCCGGAGCTGATCCAGATTTTTAATATGGAACAGGGTAAGCATTCCACAATATTATAAAATTATTTATTATAAACGCATTAGGTAATCCATGCGCGGACGCCCCTGCTCTCAAATTGAAATGTCGTGCATTTCATTAGTTTGTTCTTGGGAAAAAATTGAACAAACCTTTTTATTTAACCTATCTCATTTCTAACCCAAAATATTCTTTGAAAGAAACAATGAGAGAAATCATTTAAAAACCACTAACTGGAGTACCGTGCATATAAATAATTTAGATTAATTTAAGGATCTCTAATTTCAAAAATACCTACTTTAATTTTTGTTTTTAGATATCAGGCTTTAGCCATCATGAAAGTATTGATCGCCAATTAGAAATTAACTGTTCTATTCAAAGATATATTCGAGTAACCGACTGTATATTGGTCAAAAACAAGAAAAAAATATTAAAGAAAGCAGAGTTAAGAACTCAATTTTATATTTTTAAGATTCTGTGTTTGTTAACTGAAATATCTAATATCAATGCCAAAAAAGGTTGAAATAATGTTTAAATAAGTGTCCTTGAATGCTTTTAGCTTCTTTCATACTTCTGATAATTCTGAAACACCTACATTAGCATATTTACTTTTTGTTTTGCGGCACTGCAACATTTGCCCTATCTGTAGTCCCCTCATGTTAAGCTTTATACACAGTATAAATAATTCAAAACAACGATCGATAACACAAAATAGGGGTCATGTTTGGACATCGACTCCTTTTTTCATTAACAGTCAATTTATTCCTTGAATTGACGGATCGTTTTCCCCCTTTGATTTTAAATTTACTGCCGATAATGTCAACATTTTTTAATGTCACCGGTTACAAATTTAGTACGTTATTTTTTTTATTTTCTAAAATTCTGTAGACATACCCATACAAGCAAACATTTGTTAAACATATTTACTTAAATTTCAAACCTGGTGGTGATGTCTATGAAGTACAGTTAGTTATAAGGTATTAGATTTAATAACAGATTATGTAAACAAGCAAACTTCAAGAAGCTTACATCCCAAATCGTCACTGGAGGAAATGCTAGCTAGTGACATCTAGGAGATGGTCAACAACTAACACCACTGACGTATTTAGTACCCTCAAAAACTTGTTGCAGCAGATTTCACTGAAATAAATTGTATTTTGGAAAAACAAACACATGGGAATATTTGGTTAAAAAAAATCATTTTTGATACTTCTTATCTCAAAAATAAAAGACGATTGGGCCATACTCCATAGGAAAAAACCCTCTTATCTGGATCTGATTCTTTTAATACTATACTTTTATTAGGCAAAAGAACATTAATTAAAAACCAACACTTAACTGTTCCTGTTTGGGGGTATGGTTTACTTAATTACTTATACTTGAAAAATAGAGACAGATATACATTAATATGAACCCTTTTTGATAAACTACAAAGCATTTAAGATTAACGCTGTTCTTCCTAAAGATCTGCCCCGTGCTGCATACAATTGCGGGTATAAAACCTCATATTTTCTAGTATCTATTTGCTCGTACATTGCCGGATATTGCTGTGCAGAATATAGCGTGTATTCAGAGAGACATTCTGGTCCGTTGGGTGCAGACAATTTGTATAGGTGCTCCTTGTACCGTTTTATGTATCTACGAGTGTTTTGCGTTTATAAAATGAATGCCAGACAGATACGTGGATACAGGAACTTGTACATTGTAGCACAATAGCCATTTGGCCGTCACAGACAGGCTAAAATTAGGGGGATATCTCATTTAAACTGCTGAGCATCGGTTAAGATCGCATTTGTGTACCTAAACTTTTGTTATCAAACCTAATAGAAAATTAAATTATGTATGACATTTTTACTTCCACATGTTACAATTTTTGTTTATTAAACTCTGTTTTTTCTTGTTCTTAGAAAAAGAATCTTGCAATTCCTTTACTGAAAGTAAAAAATCCAACTAATCTAAACAATCCTGTACATCTTTGTAGCTTATACTTCATGGAGGAGGCACCGCGTGTTAAAAAGCGCAGACGCTGCAGGGAGAGAGAGCGACAGTTTAGGTTCTCTCTCTTTCTCATTGTTGAGGCCCTTCGCCCGAGCGTTAGCCAATCATGTGCCTGCGCGAGGGAGAAAGATGTCTCTCAAACTGTCTCTCTTCTTTCCCTGTGTCGCCGTAAGCTTGCTTACTCCATGTGTACGCTCAATTTGATTTTAATGAGACACACTTGCTCCTCTCTTGAGTTTACTAATGACATATTTTTGGCTCTTGCTTAAAGGACATTATTACTTTATTAGCAATTTTAAACCATGACATTTCATTTGCTGCCATGCAAATTTTCTGTAACTATCTCATAATCGAGAACAAGTTGCACTTTACAAGACCATTACATCTTGAGTGGTAAGTACCAATAAGGGCATCCCACAAGGTTCCATTTTAGTGCCCTTATTGTTTATTATTTATACATCCAATTTTCCTTTCAATTTTACATCTTGTATGTGGTATTGCTTTGCTGATGATATCGAAGCTTTTTTGTATTTTACCCTGATGAAAGTGAACAAGCAGTATCAGTAACTAATTACGACTTAAAGAATTTTGGGTCATTCCATGTCAACGCTCCCAGTCGACCATATCCAATCTTCATGAAATTTTGCACAGAAATAGCCTTTGGTTTTAATTTCCATCATCCTGCACTGTGTGCGAGGAGTAACATTGAAAACATGAGCTATTTCTCTATTTAGAAGGCTGGGGTACAAAATGAAAAACAATAAATTTGATAGAAGAAACAACGGTCTTTCAAATGAAACAAAAAAGAAAATAATTAAAGATGAACCACATTCCAATTTTTGCTGCTGAAGATAGGGTAAAATTTGCATATTTTTTTTGGCATTTTTGCCATCCTCTGCTTTCAGAAGCACAACTCCTGAATTTTTGAAATTAAGCACACATAGAGACATTAATATAGACTACCCTTGGGCAAATTATTGCCTGATTGCAGGATCTTAAGTTATTTGTGCTTAAATTATGGTCATTATTTCAGAAACTGACTTTTTTGCTCAATTTTGACACCAATTTGCAATTTAGGTTTGACTACAATTGCCTTTTGGAATCCGAAAGGCAGCGGTATCCAGGAAATCTTTTCACTGGGTATGTATGCCGCAGTCTTCCAGGCGAGGTTTTTGCTATTTTAATGGTAGCAAGCAAGGGGGAGGTAAGGAATTGTGTATAGGAGAAGATTTTTATTTGCTCTGACAGTCAGGCCGCGCTCAGAGCGATTAGCTCCCCGAGCTAATATCTCTCAGCCCATATCTCTGGAATGCCCATATCCAGGAATGTGGAGACGCTCTTGAGTCATTGGCCAGACAAAGAGAGGTAGAGCTGGTTTGGGTCCCAGGTCCCAGGCCATATGGGTATCCCTGGTAACGAGAGGACTGATCAATTAGCTCGTCTCGGATCTAGGCGACCTGGCCAGAGACCTGAACCAATCTTAGGAATTACACGAGGCTGCATCAATGGGGCCCTCAATAAATGGACCTATCAAACTTTAGGTCAGGATTGGAGGAGAAATAGAGGGTGTAGGCAGGTCCATAGTTTTATCCATGGACCTAACAAACTCAAGACGAGATGGCTGCTGAGCCTTAGTCGAAGAGCCCTAAACCAAATGGTAGGGGTTCTGACAGGTCACTATAGACTTAGGAGGCATTTAAGTTTAATAGGAATTGAGGAGGACCCTCTATGCTCGAAATGTGGAGAAGGGGAGGACACCCTTTTCTGTCTTCTGGGACATTATGCAGCCTTTGGGAGAATAAGACATAAAGTCCTTGGTACTGAAGAGCTGCAAGGGGTTGAGGTTAGAGACCTTCCATGGAACAAAATCCTGGCATTCATCGGAGCGTCGGGTAGGTTCGAGGAGGGTCAGAGGTGATGGGACGGCGGGGTAGGCAAAAAGGGCCCACTTGTGGCCAAATTGCCAGGCTGAGGCCGCCCCTTTTCACTACTACTACAATTGCCTTTTTATTTGCAGGACTGGATTTGGCACAAAAACTTGTCCTAGTCAGCTAAATATCATCCTTCTTCGTTGATCCAAACTGGAAAAACAAGCAATCAAAGTTAAGGGATTTTGAAGCACGCGCGTGTTCGTTGCAAGATGGCCCTGTAAACCAAAGCCTATAACTTGTGAGCAAAAACATATTAGAGTCTAATATTTTACTCAATTTAGTTTAGGACGAAGAGCTATTTCTATGCAAAATTTCATGAAGATATAGCGTTTGTTGGGACAGTTGAAATGGAATCACCCTTTTGCAGAATTTGCTCAGGACATTTCTTACAAATAAATATCATTGAACCTATGGTTATTATTTTTGGCAATAAAAAAAGAGATAATTATTTCACAGGCCAATTTTTTACACTGGAAACTGTCACTTTTGAAACGATCGCAGATAAAATAACTAATGGAAGACAGAATTAAAATAATGAATTATTCTCACCTGCTAGTAGGCCTATTCCGACTTTTGATATAACGACTACACTGTACTTCAACATGACTTTTTCTTTAGAACTTAGCATTGCCAGTTGAAGTACGCTGAGAAAACAAAAAACTCCAAGGACCGCTACTCCTATAGATGCTACCAGTCCTGCTACCCAAACCGCAACTGAAAAAAAAACATATACATATTTATATCATTATCTACTTTTCTTATTTCAGCCAATTGTGGAAACGTGAAATAACACTAATTTCAGTTTATTTCTTCTGGTGTTAAAACAATCAGATTCCGTCTTGTATACTATATTTCTTTAATTGAGTATATGATTGAAATTTACTTATTGAAGCCAGTTTTTGATCATCGATAATTTCATTAAATACATCAAATACTTGTTATATTCACATATCAAGATCTTGTCTTGGATATATGAGTGCATGACTATAAATAATTTTTATAGTTTTATCATTGAAGTATACAGATTAAAACAATATTCTTCAAACTTATTTTTTTTTTTAATTTATGCCATTTTCATTTCAAGTCTGGGAAATATTTGTTTCCTTAATGTCACATCAAAGAAAGCGGGGTAGGTTATTCAAACACTAAGTTAGTTTTCATTTTACTAGGGCGATCTTAAAATAAAAATTATAAATAACTTTTAGAAGTTAAAAAGTGAATATTGTTTTGTAAATACGAACGAAGGAAAATATCTTCCATATGTTTCATTAGAAAATGTAGTTTTAAATGGTCACCCAATAAAATATATAAACAGCTAAATTAGTATTATTCTTGATACATTGTAAATGAAAATTTTTTTTATTAATGCCAGATTTTCTTTAATAATGGATAAGTTAAATAAACGTATACCTAGAAACAAAATGTATTGAACTTTGACTGCCAGAAGCTTTTAGAAAACCGTATAACATTTCAGGTTGATTGAACTCAAGTTAAAACCATTAGAATCAAGTTACCCTTCACTTCTTGAGAGGCTTTTCTATAAAAAAGATTGGACTGAAGGCACTACAGGGTGATTTATAATAGAAGTGGAACTAGAATAAATACTTTATACAAATTTTTGAAATTTGTGGGTAAAACAGTTAAAAAAAATAAGATGTTCAGCCTGAATATAAAATATTGATTTCATGTGATTATTAATTTGAATAAGTGTATTTGCGATTTTACAACCGGCAGTTTCAGTGAAACCTCTTCATTCGTAGTTTAATCGAAAATAGCTACAGACAAAATTAATTTTCGTTCAAATCATGTACTGATATATCCTTCAAGACACTATTGATCCTTTCTTTTCATATAAACTTTTCTGTAAAAGGCAGGATTGTAAGCACCTTTCTTACGATGAATTTTAAAGTAAAATATTATAGCGCGATTTTATTAGACGTTCATACAAAAGAGAAAATTTGTTCAAAAAGTATGCTAGCAAAGTAAAAGATATCTAAACATATTTAAAGACAATACAGACAGATTTTTTTACTGCACACTTATATCTACAAAGCATCTTTAAGGAGAGAAAACTTCAGACAAATTATTTACAATGCGACATCGAGGAATACGAGACGTAAATGTGCTCAGAAATTGTAAGGCGTATTACGTGACTGTATACTTTTTTATAAATTTCCTCACATATTTGGATGAGATGAGCGTTGCATCTGGAATACATTGATACAAAAATTGTTAAACTACATTCAAAAGAGGACGTTATTCTTGCGATACGTAATATAGTGATATAGTAATATTGTGTTAGTAATAGCCATGTAACATTCTTTTATTATTACAACAAACAAATGTTCTACCATTACCTCGCGTATTTTTACTTTATAATAAAGGTAATTAAAATAAATTTCAATTTTTTTTATTTTATCAAATAAAAACAAGTTCTTCGATATCGGAAATCTAGATATGCCAAATACATCTAACCACACAGAATAAAAACAACCCAACTGACGTCACGCACCACCAATGTTAGTCTAGTATTTGCTGCAGCAGAAGAATATCTGGTGCACGCCAAACGCAGAAGAAGAATAACCTAAAACTGTTCAATATAGACTGTTCTGGAAGAATGCGGCACATACAATTTTATACGAAGAATTTACAAACGGCTCGTACTTCTCTATGTGCTGACTGCGAAAAATGGCGAGCCGGATTAAAGAATGAAATCACTGGGATCCGACATCTAGTAGTAAATAATTATTCAAAATAAAAAGTAAAAATGATATGTCTGAATAAAATGAATACAAAAACATATACTTCATATAATGAAATTATTCAAAAATGTAGTTATTGAAAGAAATATGGTATATTTTTGTTGTCTAACACTACTCTTAACAAAGTCCAACACCTAAAAAATAGCTGTTACACGAAGATCTTTTCGTTTTCACATTTTACTTGTTGGATTGTTTCATCACGTAGCCTCCTTGTAAATGGAAGTAAATAAACAAAGGAACTTCCGGAGGTTTCATTTTAACTTGCACACCATTTCTTACTTGTGATAGATGGAGTTGCCATATTTGGTAGCTGTTATAAACAACGCAATTAATAAAGATGCATTCCTTTAGGCAACGCTTAGAATTAATAAAAGTTCAATAGAAAAATGGTGAAAATTCCACGGAGAAAGTTCGAAAAATCTGTATCAGTTTTGGTTGCAGAAATGCGCCTTCTTGTACAGCAATTGTGATTTTAGTGATTAAATTTGAACGCATAGGGCAGATTACTGATGTTAAGAACTCAACTCAAAAATATTGCTATTATGTCTATAAGTGAAAATATGGTCCATCCATTGAAAAACTCTGGCAACAATGCAGCATGCACCATATTTTGCACAAAGATCCAGGTCCAACGCTGCAGAGATGTTAAAAATGCAAGAGGTTGACACTGGCTTTTTCAAGAAAATCATTTTTAGCGAATAGACCCATTTTAGTGTTCCGAAAACCCAAGAGTGATTGTCAGACAACCTCTCCATCCACAACAAGTGACAGTTTTGTGCGAAATCTGGTTGACTTTTTGGGCCTACGATTGAAATACTGAACACGGAAAATGTTTAATTTCATCAGAATAGGGCTATTTGCCATATAAGTCGTGAAACCATAGTCACATTACGTGTGCTGTTTCCTGTCCGTGTCATTTTGCGTCACGGAGATATCGATTAGCAGCTTAGATAATATATTTATTTCATAGATTTCTTTCTGAGGGAGAAAGGACAAAGACAAAGGAAAAGGACAAGGACAAGGACAAGGACAAGGACAAGGACAAGTACAAAAAAGGACAAAGTGTACGCTAATGCTTCAGGAACAATTGAAGCGCTCAAACTCAATATTCGAACTAGCGATATAGGCCTGATTATGTGGAAAAGTAATGGAAAATTTCTTATAAAGAATTGGAATTTGCAATAGAAGTAGAGGCGGCTATTTGGAAGATATTGTCTTTTATATTCAACCTCATGATCTATATTTTGTGTTGGAATAAAAATATCACTATGAAAAATAAAAATTACTTGCTTTCTTATACATTTGAAGCTTCTTAATAGAAGACCCGTCTAATCTAGCTGCTCTGTGTTGTCTAATTTATTTGACCTTCATTTGGTTATAATTTTCATATTCATTACTTTTTTTTGTAATAGTTTAAGTAATAGAATTAAGAAATAAGTAACTCATTTTGCAACTGGAAAAGTATATTTTCTTGTCAACTAAACTGTGAAGTTCAAGCTTTCGTGCAAGTTATCAATGGTTGAATAATTTTAGGACTTATAAGTCAAAATTCCAGGTAATTCTGTACGCTCGTCTCGGAGTTGGTTTTTGCCCAAAGCCGTAGTGCTTTTTCAGTGTCCAATTTTTTAAAATCTGACAAAAAATTGTTAGCGAATTTTCAATTTAAAATTTGACTACGCCACTGGATTCTGCATCTCAGTGTGGTTTATACCAAACTTCGTGAAAAAATATTCACTGTTCATTCTAAAATAATGGGATAATAAATAAATTTAATAAACCAATAAAACGCTCACTAATATGTGTTTTTATTAAACTGACAGTTTCAGATCAAAAAATTAAAAATTAAAATTTAAGATTATGGTTCAATTTCTGTCTATGTGTTTACTCTTTTATTTCCATTATTTCTATGTTTTTTTGTTAGTCGTAATTATAACTGGTTCATCCATTAAAATTAAAAATTATTGTTTAATTTGGAATTGCACATTGAAGAAGAATATATTAGTGAATAGTGTATTTACATTGTGAGGGTACAAAATTCAGTCGTGTAGCCACATTTTAAATAAAAAAATCGCTAACCCATTTTTGTGAAATTTGTAAACTGAAAAAAAAATAAATGTAGGCTATGATAACTGTAAATAAATTTATATCATATGTATATTCATAGACCTTTTTAAAATCAATTTAAATAAAAAACTAATTGAATCGCAACAATGAAGCACAAATTATGTGGAGCAATCTGTCTCTGCTGTATGTAGTACTTATTGTGAAAATCATCTTTTTAGCTTCGAATTTACGTTGACGTTGGTTGACATAATTAAATTTATAGACACGTAAAAAATATTATCGGATAAAAAAATTCCAAAAGTAGACGCATTTAATGAAATATTTAGGTTGACGCGGTATTTGTTCAAGAAACCGTTTGTATGTTTTTAACGATTTCAACTCAAGGTCCTGAAATTCGGCGTTCGCCCTTGTTTGCTGTTTCAGAAGCTCAAGATTAACATGTTATTCTAGAAACTAAATTAGTTAAAGCCATATGTGAGGATGTGAGATACAGCTCTCGTATCCTTAGATTTAGTAACACCACAGGTTTTATTCTGTATTTGAAATTGATTTATCCGAACTTTCACGTTAGATGTTTTGTTTGACCTACATATCAGGATTCTGTTACATACGAGTATGTATACCTAGAAGAAAATTCTCGGTTAGGTGGATAATAAGAAAATTCAGACAAGCTTGTAGGAATATTATCTAAAGTTATTTATTCGTGGCATAATTTTAGTTTTTTCTTTATTTGGGCAATTTGCCACCTGTGAAAAATAAAAAAATAATTGATTCTCATTTAAAAAAAAGATCAATTTCAGTATAGGATTTTTGACTAAGTAAATATAGTTTTAAAAAGTAACTCTTAACTGATCATTCTGGTGCACGAGTTTGTTTAATTAATTGTATTATTTGTTTCAAATGTGGTAAAATACTCAAATAAACAGACAGAAAGCTTATAGGCCTGTTAATATCTAGACGTACAATTATTATACTTTTTACTTGTGTTGAATTAGCAGTAGTAGTATATAGGGTGTCTTTGGATAAGAGAAACACTCTAGTGGGAAATAGATAATACTAGTGTTCAAATATGGGTTTCTGGAATTTGCTCCGCTTGTTTTTTAAATTGTGCTATGATTTCAAATCTGTAAAATCTAGTAAGCTCTAGAAATTCTAGAAATATGTTTTTTCAGTGGTAAATTTCCCTTTCTCCAACTGAGTTTCTCAGAATAAAAACAAACACAAAATGTCAATCCTCTACGCTTTCATTGATTTCAGACCACACTGATTTGTATGAAAATAATATTCTGTTTCTATTAAAAGAAAATTGTCTGTAAAAATAGGTATAAGATACATCACTTGCATTGAAATTTGTAAGCTGTTGTATTTATATGTTTATATCTTAAAAATTATGAATTGGAATTTGTAAATAATTATGAATTTGGGGGCTTGATGTATTTAGAAACTATTTAACTTCAGGGAAGCATTTAAAAAGTTACTACTTGACTTGATTTAAGCAATTTGGAAGATGTCATAATACAGTATTACTTCAAAATATGAAAATTCCAATTTTATACCTAAATCAATCCCACCATAATTTATTTGATTAAATTAGCAATAGATATAAAATAAGTAAATAACTATAAAATTGTTTGTTTTACTAAAGCCACCACTTGAAGTTATTTTATGACTGGATATTTGGAAAAAAAGCTTGAAATAATAATTAGAGCTAAAAATACTACGAAGTTCAATTCCTGTAAATCCAAATTTTAAGACACTTTCTCTTATCTTTCTTATTTCCACCTCACTCTAGATTTCGATCAGAAAACTTTATGAAAAAAATTAAATAGTCTTGAATAAGAAGAAGTATTTCAAATATAACTCAATAAAAGCACTTCCTTATTCTTTCAAATAGTTATATTAGACTTGGTGTTCGTGTTAGTTGTGGTTGAGTCAAAGCAGAACAATGACAGCTTCACACACGTTATTCTTCACTTCATTTCTTGTACCAAAATTGCATTTACTTAGGTATACCTAATGGAGACTAATTTCCAGCTGCTTTTGCTTCGATGGAAGTGATGAACAGAGACGGCATTTAGGACAAGAAAATTAGAGTTATTAAAAAAACTGGCGGTATTAACACAAACACAGCTTCACCTAGCGAATGTATAAATGATAAAATATTTAATATTAAATTTATAATATTCGCACCTATATTCTGTTTGTTTATATTATTTAAAACTTGTGAAGAAGAGAGGGCACTTTCCATGTCAAAATTTACTACTACCTACTCTTTAATTTTGTCTAATATTCACCGACTATTTCAGCAAAATAATTGCAAATAAGCTCGGCAGAATGAGATTGCTCCAGTATTTGCTCTCTAAAGTTATTTGTTTTGCAGCATTCATTTTAAGCGTGCCTTGGCTTACTGTTTTCGCTAAACTAACGCACTTGATGGACAGAAACACATTTTTCTTAATAAGAGTTCCATCCTATTTACTCGCTGAAATAACCCTTTGCAATGGATAACATTTACAACCTGCTAAGCGGCTTTTCTATGTTTCCGTAAATTGAATACTAACGTAAGATTAATAGGTCAATAGTGTTGTGCCGTGCTTTCACCATTTTATCCCTAAAATTCTTAATATACAAAAAATCTAAAAGCGCAAGTTTCCGAGACGCTGAAATTGTGTTAAAAACGTTTCACAAAATTATCCAGAACATAGTAGCTTCACAACCTCGTAAACCAAGACTTTTACACTTTTGAAATTATGGCATACGTTTAGGAAACAGCCTGTAAATGTGCTTCTTTTACTTGTATGCATAACTGAACCTGGTATTTTAAAATATGGGCATGGACTTCTCTATCAATTCAAGGCAATATCTCAAGGTGTTCGATTATTCATGATCCGAAACTTTCGCTAAAACTCTTGACTTTTGCGACCCTTTTATGCTTAAGTATGCCTATATAGGCGTAACGTTACAACGGTGAATAATCATACGTGTTTGATCAACGTCATGTCTAAGAATAGTTCCTAAATAATTTTTTATTCAACTGGCCCGAGCGTGAATAGAAACTAAGAATCTTCTGATTTCACTCTGGATATTGCCTTTCTCTAAAGAGATAATCGTCTATTTGTCAAAGATGTTCAATAGAAAATCTTTTATTTTGTGGTAATAAACTGTCATCGTATTTGTCTTATGCATATAATTTCAATATAGAAATTACATAACATTTTAATAGGATGACGTTCGAAA